TAATAGCTAGTAGCTAGTAGCTACTAAGTACTATCTGCAAAATACTAGCTCTCCTACTCCTACTCCTACTCCTACTCCTACTCCTACTCCTACTCCTACTCCTACTCCTACTCCTACTCCTACTCCACTCCTACTCCTACTCCTGCTGCTGCTACTGCTACTGCCGCGGTTGCTGCTGCTACTACCACTATTTCTCCAGTTGCCACACTAGTTCCAAAGTTGCTAGCGGATTACGCCATTACCACAGCCTCCTTTTGCTTCCGCATTCAGGCGCTGCTGGCTAGACCGCTGGTTCGGAGCCCTCCGACCGAGGCAGACTTCGGCGAGGCACTGGAGGGCACGTGAGGGCTCAGCAAGGCTCAGGAAGCCTAGTCATGCATACATAGATGTGCTTGTGCCTGTGCCTGTGTTTTCAACGTAGTGAAAAAAAATGTAATGTATGCATGTGTCTATGTATGATCGAGAGTGTGTCTTTGTGTGTGTGTGTGTGTGTTTTTTCATGCAGCTTTGGAGTCATGACTGTCTCTTTGAGCTCCAAGGCGTGCAGTTTAACGGAGAAGCAATCCTCTAGAGATAGCGACACATGTGGAGATGTTCCGGACTTCCTGAAGTTTTTGCAAAGGTCTGTATGTTGCAGATGGATGCCTGGTTTGAGGGTCATGTTGAAACTCTTTGGAGCATCCATCCACGGACCACTCACATCTGAGCCTTTGTGGTGCTGCTTAAAACGCGCAGGACACCAACACTTAATGGTGCACTTGCCCATTTGGCGCAACCAGAGACTGTCTCGGATGCGAGAGCCTAAGCGTAAGTCCAAGCCGTACCTTCGGAGGAGGCTAGTGCGCAGCCGCGCTGGCTGCAGAACCTGAGCCTGGACCCTGGCCAGGGCATGTCGTTTTCAGCTTCAATCTCTAGCTGAATGTAGGCGTACATAGGAAGACTGTTCAAGGTCAGCACAGTAACTACAGGATGTGCTTCCATGCCAGCAATACGAGCTTGAATGTTTGTGTTCAGGTGCATATACCAGAATTACACTTGCATATATACATACATCCATCCTTGCAGACAGACCGACAGACCGACAGACCAACAGACCGACAGACCGACAGACCGACCGACCGACTGACCGACCGACAGACCGACAGACCGACAGACCGACCGACCGACTGACCGACCGACGGACCGACCGAACGACAGACAGAGATAGACAGGTCACAGACAGACAGACGGACAGACAGACAGACAGACAGCCAGACAGACAGACAGACAGACAGACGGACGAACAGACAGACAGACAGACAGACAGACAGACAGACGGACGGACGGACGCACGGACGGACGGACGGACGGACAGAGACAGACGGACAGAGACAAACAGACAGACAGACAGACAGACGGACGGACGGACGGACGGACGGACGGACGGAAATACAACTGATTCATTTAGCGCAGAGCTACAGTGAGCATTGCCTGG